AGAGAGAGAGAGAGAGAGAGAGAGAGAGAGAGAGAGAGAGAGATCATTTTACCTTTTCTCCTATCAAATCTCCCAATTATATCGCTTATCCCAGCTCGTGATACAATTTCGCGTAAGTCAATAAATTCTTTATTACAGAAGAAGAAGAAATGAATGTTATTCATCACACTTCCTTTTCGACCAATTTCTGGATGAGCAAAGACCGTGTTGGCATTATCAGTTAATTAAAAAGGAGGAGAAGGCAACGGAAAATCCCCGGTCGCTGTCTCGCTCCATCTCTTACGACGAGCATCGATGGGATCTGTTAATATAGCGTTATTCCGGTGTATCAAGCGTGCAATCGTTGCACGGGTCGCGGATCAATAGTAATGCAGTGAAACGGAAGACTAAGATACGGCTTGCGATTTTATGGGGACGTATCCTGGCGTTATACATAGATATATATAAATATATATATATATAAAAATATATGTATGTGTGTGTGTATGTGCGCGCGCGCGCATATATATATATATATATATATATATATATATATGCGAGCGGGATATTCCAAGCATAGAAGCAGAGTTGAATGCAGTCGTTGAAGCTAATACCGCCGAATGCAATCGCCTTGGCGTATATTCGAGATCTCGAAAGCCGAAAGAATGATGGATAACCTTCGATTTGCAAATTGTTCAATTAATGGTCGATCAATCGATTCGCCGGATGACTTTATCCGACGCGCGCGCACACACACACACACACACATGTAAGCGCGCGCGCGCGCTCTTCCGAAAACCGTATACAACGACATTATTTAGGAATTGTGATCGGAGCGCGTATGGAGTTTTAATTATCGTCATTTCGCCGTGTCCCGACGCAAACGCATGTGAAATAAAAATTCGCGTAATTGAGGAAGTAACGACTGATACGTGGCGATCGTGCAAAGTGGTTTCAGCGACGGGATGCAGTTTAGCGAGCGACGCACTTCCACGGCTGAGAAATGCGCAATGCTGTCGGCCGCGGTTAAGCTCGCTGGATAGCGAACGACATCGAGCGCGCGTCTCTATTCAAACGTTTTGACAATCCCGCCGCGTGCAGGGAAAGGTGTGTGTCATTAGTCGTGCGTTTGTGTCGTCGGATATTGTTCGGAGATTCGATGGTTGTGACGCGAACGCGATATATGGACATTCGAAGATGCGCAAAACGGAGGCGGAATAATTACGCAACGCGGTCGGATCGTGTCGCTGATTTGAACGTCGACAAGGAGTTTCATACAACCCTACGACACTTTCATTGTATTCGCGACGTTCCCGCATCCGCTGCGTTTCGAGAGTCTATAAATATGGATTATGGGGATCGAAGAATGCATATCAAGAAATGAAACGTCAAACTGTCTCCGAACGTAAATTGTTATTCATGTTAAATATTCAACATTCGATATTCGATCGAGCAAACTAGGAGCAATAGAACCGATAAAGGGTAACGCGTTTCTTTGTCAAATTACGTTGAGCGACTGCGTTCATGAATACATTCAGTTCGTTCTTTCGTACAGATGATATTTCACAGAGGGAGAGAAAGGGAAAAAGGGAGGGAGAGGGTGGGAGAGAGAGAGAGAGAAACAAAGAGAAAGAAAGAAAGAATGAAAGAAAGAAAGGGCGAGCGTACTACGAGAGTTATTTTTCCCTTGTGTATTCCGTCAATCAGATTATCGGATAATCTCATTTTAAAGCCACACTATACTTCTTCGTAACGTATATCGGCAGCTTTGCATTTTAAATGTATCGACGATTTACCGATAAACGCGTCGACACCACCATATGTCGATGCCACATTCCGTGTGTATCAGATTTACACTAGAATACCTGGGAACGATCCCTTTGGGAGTTAACGCTCTCTTTGGATGCGTGAGTCATTTTGATTCCTTATGATTTTAATTTTAATATTAAAAAATACATATACATATACATACATACATATATATATATATATATATATATATATATATATATATATATATATATATATATATATAATATTATATACATAATAAAGAATATATATGATTTTATATATATTATAATATATAATAATATATATAATTATATATAATATATGTATAATTCTCCGAAATCGTTGAGAAATGGAAATGACGACAAGATGACTCCTTAAAGGAGTCCAAATAACTCCATCAGACATACGATATTTTAGTGTTGAAGCAATTTCCGACGGTATAAAAATTTTCGACAAGATGAGATATTACCCATTGCTTACCTGCCTCGGGGCAGGGGGAGAACAGGAGGGGGAAGTATCACATTTAGCCGGGTGTAGCCGCGTTGCCGTCTTGGCCACTCGAGTATTAAACGCATGACGCGCATATCCGGCTGGTCCGCAGTGCGGTGCTCGTTGCGGCAATCTAATTTTTTGGTACGGATGCGCCGG